GCATACACAGCTCTGGTTTTCATAACATTGCAAAATCCCTTCTACACTCAAGGAAAAGATCTATGCATGGCCTCTTGTATCCAGGGCCATTGCACAGCCCGGGAGCAGGGCGGGAGTGCTGCTGCTTGCTCTGTCGCGGACCTGCTTTATTCAGCAATGGGCCAGTTCAGAAAGACCTTATACCACGCTCACCTTTTCCATGAATGTTAGCAATCAAAGACTGGGCTTAAGTGAGGACGCAAATCTGAGCAGCTTGGCTCAAAGGAAACGTCTTTTTTCCCTTCCTTCTGCCTTCCCACAGCAAGGCGCAGGTCTTGCCTGAGGGTGCGTGGTATGCCAATAAATACGGTATTGCCCAAACTTCCCTGCCCAGCTGGGCAGCGGCAGAGAGCGGACCCTGAAATGAAGTGGGGTTTGGAGCAGTGCTGGTGCTCTGCTTCGTTCCTCTTTCATTTGGTTTCCCATCCTGGCCGATGCATCCTCCAGCCCTGTGCAAAGAGGGGCTATCAGTCGGCATCTCCCTTCTGAGTCATCCAAAAATTGACTAAGAGGGACGGAGATATCGGAGGATGAATCAGCTGGGGGGGAGGAGGGGGGTGATTAGGAAGGAGACGGTTCCTATCTGCACGCAAATATCTTAGGCATTAGGAACGCCAGGCACGGACCACACGGAAACCTGATGGGAGGCTGCAGGGAGCTTAGGGCAAAACGCTGGTACAGGAAAGGGCTTCTCAAAATTGCTTCTGTGCTTACCCGAGTGGGAACATCTCAGCTCTTCGTGACACCGCCGAGGTTTGCTGTCACTGAAGGGAGGGGACTCGGCTATTGGCACAAGTCTTCTTATTGCAGAAGTTTTTCATGTACTACCATCATCAGCAATGGGAGACGTGGGGCTCCGATGCAAACGTGGGATGCCTTCACTGCCGGGGTATTTTTTCCAACATATTTTCGGACGCCAGGAAATAGCTGAGCTGGGAGGCGAGACTAGCACCATATTCCCAGCTCTGCTATGGCCCGGCTGTGTCACCCTAGGCACATCACTTGACCCCTCCATGCCTCCGCTATCCCTCCTGCTCTTTGTCTGTTTAATGCACAATGTCATCAGGGTGTCCAACATGGCCCGGACGGTGAAATAAGTAATATGTTGTTACACTTCTGTCGGTGCCCAGACCTCAAAGCACGTGGCAGAGAGCTACACAATCCTGCCATAGACGCATCTATCTATATCCAGTTTGCCTGGACAAGCGTGATCAAGCATTTATCAAAAGCACTCCATTTTTTTTTTTGCACTTTGATATAGAGATATGCAAACAGCTGGACATCATCAGGGCTCCGGGGGAGACGCCATGCCCCCCGTCACCACTTTGGTGCTGGTGAAGTAAGTGGGCCACTGTTATCAGCAAGAGCAGTAGCAGCCCATACAAGTCCTGATAAACCAACAGACTCCTGCGTGCTGTGTCCAGCTGCCTTGATTGCTAATGGTCTTGCCTCAGCCATTAGCTTTCAAGCTCAGGATTTAGACTCCAAATGGCAAAACCAGGCACGAGAGCTCTGCAGTCTTAGAAATGCAGCTACAGCTCCCTCTTTGCATGCATCTAAGGCATCCAGGATGCTCTTTGAAGGAGCAGGACTCTCCTGCCTATGGCGAGAACTGAGCTGCAAGCAGCACCCCAAACGCCAAGGTAAAAACCAAGCGACATGGAAACCGATTCTGTGAACACGTGTATGCACACGCACGTGCACACGCACAGCTGGGCCCCAGCTTTGCTCCTGGAGCTGAACAGGGTCATCCTGCGTTGTACCAAATGCCTCTGGTCTCGACGTGGGAGGGGAGCGCGTGGGGAGAGCGCGGTACTGACATGAAATGCCGTTGCCTGCAGAAGATCCCCAGGTCCCGGGGGCTCCAGAGCAGAGTCCGGTCAAATTGCTTTATTACAGTAACAAACACAACTCAAAGGCTTCTGCTCCCATGGGGGAAAGCTCAGGAAGCTGCTGGTGTCAGCAGCGCTGGAAGCCTTGCAAGATTAAAGCCGTCTCTTGGTATTTCCCCACTGGAATTCCACTTGCCTGGCGTGGCGGAGCGGGAAGTGGCCGTGAGCACTAATTTTGCAGCCAGGCCGGGCAGCGGGGTGGCCTGTAACTTGTATGGGACCTTGCTGAATTGTCTGTCTCCTGCTACCACCCACGTCCGAGAGGCAATGACTTGAAGGGCGGTGCAATTGCTAGAAGCAGGACCTCGTCTGTGGTGTGGCATGGACCTCCCGGCCTGTTTTGCACCTTTTCAAACCTCTGCAACAGCAAAGGTGACTCTGGATGAACTACTCATCTCGATGGCTGGAGCGCGCACAGGTTGCAGCCGTGGCCCATAACACCAGGCTCCTCCGCGGTAGCTCGCCTGGCCCAGCCACAGCCCTTCCTCACCCCCTGGGACACAAAGACCTTCCCCCACTGACAATTCAGAGCTGTAGCCAGAGCCGAACTGAGGTTAGGAGGGGAAGGACGACGTCCTCTGTTGCAATGCTTTTAGGTCTATTTAACCGGTGGGCGGGCGGTTGCTTTCTAAGGGCTAGAATACAGTTCGTGCCACGTGAGAGAGAGACAAGAAGAGAGAGAGATGGTTTCCCCAAGCTTCCTTTGTCCCATATGCTAAATAATAGCATCCATATGAAGGCAAAGCAAGGACCTAGCAAGGGAAACAGACCAACACCGGGCTTTATCTGGCAAAATCAGAGAAACATCAGCTGCAAAGCGTGAAGAGAATGTGCTTTCCACAGGAGACGCGGCCCGTCTAGGGTTTCGGATCTGGTTAATGACACCGCAAATTAAGCCTGTCATCTTCAGAAATGATTTTTCTTTCAGTTTGCACTCAAAGAAAACAACAACAACCTTCCAAACCTGAGATTTTGCAGGAGCCGGCCTCCCTCCCCTCCCAGCCTCCCCGACAAAGGGAGAGAGCCGCCGGGACGAGCCTGCAGCCCTGCGCGAGGGGAAGCCTCTCCAGATGAGACCGTTACCAGACCCGGCAATGAGTGACTGAGCCCCACCGCACAAAGGAGCCCGTCTCACCGGGGTTTGCTTTCATACGTGCAGCGGATGGAGTCGAGACAGCCTCCATCAGCGACTGCCCCCCGCAACACTCCCAGCAAGTGAAGTTTCCATCTCTGCTCTCTGGGCCAACTCCCTTGCAGGCACCCATCGTTCATTATTAGCATTGGTGAATTATATCCCAGCCGTGCCTAGAGCCCGGCGGAGATCGGGGTCCCATTGGGAAGGGTACTATGATGTACAGGCAACAAGCAGCGGTCTTGCCCCCCATTGCAGCTGCAAACAAACGCCCTGATTCTGCCAACTTTTTAACGGCATGACTTCCTGGGGGCGGCTCACGGGGCAGGGAGCTAAGCATGGAGCAAATGCAGAAGACAAGGCGAGGAAGTGGGAGCTGAGACACAGCAGTTCCTTCCATCCCTTCCTACCTCCGTGCTTGGCAGTCGCCTTCTGCCACCGTGTCCTGTTAAAGCCGATGCCCCCCTCTCCCCCATCGATGGCTACGTTTCAGTGCCTCGTCCTTGACTAAGCCCCTGCAACCTTCTCGAAATCTCAAGGTGTTTCACAGGACAGGAGAAGTATTTTTTGACCACGAGCCCTCCACCCCGCCACTGAAACCCGGCCCTCTCTGCACATCTGCCTTAATGACCGAGCGACAACCGCAAGCTGGGTGAAGGGAGGCCGAATGCAATGACCGAGCCTGGACGTCAGCCAGGACAGTGGGGTTAAGACTCCTACTCTGGCAGATAGCTGCAGAGGGATCATTAATGCATGCATGTGGTTGGGACCTTCGTGCAAAAGACAATGCCTTCCCAATCCCACCAGAGGCTCCTGACACCCAGCTCGGGCACGGCTTCACTACAGCATCACTTATACCCCCCATACCGACTCCCCCTCTCCTCAACACGGTGTTAATGCCCAGTACAGAGCAATCAACCCTGATGAGCTTTGCCGTGCAAAATTCCCCTTTTGCTTCTTTTCTCCTGGCAATTTTTGTGCGCACATGCAATAACGAATGAAACACCAAAGTTTTCATTTTCATCCAAAGTTTTCAGGGTTTTTTTTCTTGTAAAACTAAACCCTCTCTTTATTCTCAAACTTCAAAATTTCCAATAGAAAAAAAAAAAAAGCTATGTTGACTAAAAAATATTTTTTGTTGAAAACACACGCGTTTGTAGTAGGGCCGGGCAAGCTTTTGCCATCAAATGATTTCTAACAGAAAACTGTAGTATTCTGTCAAACAAAAATTTTCACTGGCAGCATCTGTTTTCTTTCAAGATTTCTGATTTTTTAGTTGGGAAACCAAACAGAAAAACACAACCTCCCCCACAAAACCCAGAACTGAAATATTTTCAGCTGAAAAACAGCACACAGTCCGGTCTGGGGATCTTTTTTTTTGTTTGTTCGGATGAAATGTCAAATTTTCCCAAATCCCTCTGATTTTCTGCAAACTTTTTTGATCGGCTCTACTTCATCAGTTAACGAGCTGCAAGGGAGTTCATAACTCAAAGATTACTGGTAATGCAGTTAAAATAAAATCCCCCCCCCCAAAAACTCTTTATTCTCTGAAGTCCGAATCGATTCTCCCAGGGATGGGGTTGAAAGGCAGGTCCTGATCATGGGCCACAGGGAAAAGGAGAGGTTTTCACCGGTCATTAATGAACCCTCAGCTCATGGGAAGAGCAGACCTGGCTACCCTAGGATGAGAGGCCTAAGGAGGGTCTCAGCAGCTGGGGGGTTTAAAGTGGGCAGCGGTGTATTTATAATTCACATAGAGGACCCCCCAGGTGGAAACCGAACTCCAAACAAATGCACTGAAATGCCCCATAAACTCTGGGGTGGGGAAATGGAGTTGGACCAGCCTGGCTAGCAAAAGAGCGGGCCAGGAAAAATGCCAGAATCTGCACCCCCCAGCCACTCGACAGAAACGGCCAGATTTTTACAGGAGTCTTCACCTTTTCCCCCAAAGTTTGGATGCTCGGCGTCTTCCGGTGACAGGTGGAAGCCAGGGGCCTGCCTGCACAACAGCCCTTCGCTTCCGCCCCCGGGGACGTTGCACAGACTCGCACGCTTCCACGCGTGGCACGGTGGGCACAGAAACGACAGCGAGAAAACCTCCGAAAAAGCCTCTGCCTGGTGCCTGGACCCTGAAATCAGACAGCACCAGCCTGCTGTTTTTCTCCTTCTTGGAGACCCCTCCTGGTGACACCGCACCGGGTGGGAACCAAACCGCTGGCCGGGTGATTTTCTGCACGGCGGAAACTTGGGAGGAGAAACAGGGCTGTGGGCATCCAAATCTAGGGGCTTACCTGGACCTTTATGAGCCGGCTTGTTCTGACCGCGACCATGTTGCAGAAGCTGAGATGCGTCAGTCCGTCTCCTCTCGGACTCGGAGCATCGGTAGCAAACCTGGCACCAGCAAATGGCATTTCCAGGGACTCTAGGGAACAAGTTAAAAGGTCAGTTGAATGCTTCTGTGCTGAACATCCTCCATGCCTGGCTAGCAGGAGATTAGGCACATATTTCCCTTGTCTTAGTTCCCTTTGCAAGTTGCCTTTAAAGGGAACTGAGTGACGCCGGCTTTTAAGAGCCGGTCGAGCTGACATTACTACTTTTACCAAACCACCCGAGTTTGGGGCACTTTGCTGCTGAAGCTGCCAGACAAAATGAACCAGAGGAAGGTGACAGATAACAGCGTCATGTTAACCACCTTCTTGTGATGGCTCTTTGCTGTGTATTGCCGTGTCGGTAATGCTTTTCAGATTGGGTATTTCAACAACGCATTCCAGAGTAATGTCTGACATGCCGGCCAGGGAACAATAGCTACATACAGGCCAAGAGCCGCATTATTTTTAAGCAACTACTTCATCTCTTCCAGTCTCGCAGCCGCCCCTGGCTTCTTACCCTTTTTAACACAAGTTTATAGAGGCCGCACTTGCAAAAACAGGTGTGGGGAGAGCGGCAGGGCTGGAGACCGCAGCTGCCTGGCGAGTTTTGGTTGAAAAACTCTTTCTGATGGAGGAAAAAAAAAACGTTTTTCAAAACCAAGGTTTTTCACATCCCTCCTGATGGTCTCTGATGTGTTTGCTTGGGGTTTGGCCCCGCAAAAACAGCTGATGTGTTTCCCCAATTAGCCAAGTGAAGGATGAAAATGGTTTGATGCTATGCCTTTTCACAGCTGCAAAATAGGGTAGGGGGGGAGATGACAAATGAAGGGAAAAGGGGTAAAGACCCCAAACTGCAAACAATACTCTTTATTTCTGGACCCTCCCTGTACCGTAGTTTCCTTCGGTGCTTTTGTCTTGACTCCGTTTCATTTCCTGCCTCTGGTTTTCAGCCCTTTAATTAACGTGGCTTCTGCCTTTTCTCTCCCCTGGAGAGTTTTGACACAGCCACGTTCTCCCTCCCACTCCCCTTTTCTCTCCCAAATACAGAGCAGTGCACAAAGCGCTGGGACCCCAGCTGAACCGTGACGCTGTCAGGGCTCACGAAGGAGGGTGCTCTGGAAGGCAGCCCGGCCATGCCTAATATATTTACTAGTGACTATTGCAAAAATAGAGTCTCCCTTACTTACTTCTGGCTCTTTTTCCCCACTTCTTTCCCCCCTCCCTTCCCTTCTCTACCTTTGGTTTTCCTAATTTCCACCTATTTACATGCCCACTGACATGCTGTCACACTTTTAGCTTCTTCCATTGCTTGGAGAGCTCAGACCAGCAAAGACTCCCGGTGCCTGAAGAAGGGGGATTTGCGCCCCAAAGCTCGCACAGAACTTTTCCCAACTACTCAGCTGGGCTAAAACAAGAGATCACATCGACCCAAAGAAACTGGCATGTCGATGATGTCCTTAACTAACACGGCTACAACCAAACACCCAGCGCCTAATGTCTCGGCATCTTTAGCTCCCCAGGAGACAGGCTGCCCTACCTCGACACCCCGAGTCCGGTTCTGATCTCGTTTACACCCGTGTCCAGTCAACACCTTGTGCAAACTGGCTCAGACACCAGCCCAGAGGCTGGAAAGCCATGAACCTGCCTGAACAGGGAGGTGAATTTGGATGAAGGTAGGGGCATTTGAGGCAGAAACAGTTTCCAGCTCTCTGTAGGGATGCCCTCATTCTGGATTAGGTTTGCCCGCTGATTCTGAGCAAGGCACTTTTACGCTGATATAAGAGTGTCCACACAAGAAGAGCTGGTTGGGAGCAGCTCTTCGCCCCGCTCCTTTGCCCATTGCCACCAGGGTGTGTTTTGAGCTCAGCGGTAAGGTCGTGCCCACGGCTGGTGGTGTCCAAAACAAGACACAGCGACGCAGGAGCTGCGCTGGCTCCGACGGGAGCTGGGTGGGGACCGAAAGGAACAGGGCCGTTTAAAGAAGAAGGGGGCATCCAAACACACTTAGGATAACGGGCTCCGGGTCCGTCCCAATCGAGGCGGGAGTGGCTGCCAGTAAACTCTCCCCCCGTTTTGTTTGCACCCAACGTAATCTGAAATCCCATTAAATGTCTTTGGGGAACACCTGCCCCAGTCCATCAGCATGACACACCGCTGCCGATGCGGCCGCCGTGGATTTATAGCTGCCACACCCCATTCACGGCAATAAACGTAGAACCCGTTTTTACCGAAACGGTGAGTTACGGGTTTTCAAATAAAGCCGATTGCATATAAACCAGCACTCTGTTTAGTTGGAACGGCCCTCGCAGACACATCCATCTACATAAAATACACACCAGAGGAAGCAGAGCTGTGACTTCGCTCTGATGACATAAAAACTCTTGTAAACACGTTGTCATTTACAGTACGGGGCGGTGGGGGAGAAAAATAAACCTGCAGGGCCAACCCATCCCTCTTGGAGCACATGGAAAATTTAATAATCTTTTTCCATAAAGCTTTGTTTGCGGCTTGATTTATCTGGGCAATGAAGACAGGGCAGTGGCTGGTTTACCATAAATAGGTTGTATTTCTTTGCAGACAAATGCTGCAGTCACCCTTTAGGCAGCTTTTGGAGATGTGTATGCAGAGGGGGTGTCACTGGTCTGACAAGATAGAGTCGTTTTGTAGCACCCTAATGCCACCGAGAACTGAAGCGTCCAGGACCAGAGCTGATCAAATCCTTCTGCTTTCTGATGGTCGAGGAACCTTCACAATTGCCCTGGAGTTTCCTCCAAGAACCCTCTCCCATGCTTTGATGTGGTTTTCATTGCTAAAATCTGACTCAAAGGCAAGAACTCCTATTCACTAGCTTCAAATCAAGTCCAAATGGCCATGTTCTGCCACCATCTCTTCCATCTGAATAATAGGCAGGACACAAGTTTCACTATTGGCTACATGAAGAATACCGGCATCTCTCTCTTGATCATACCAGAATTGAGGATTAAGATTAGGGCACTAGCGAACATTACCTGGGGTAGGAGAACTGGGCTTCCTCTCTGCACTTATAGATATCTTTATGATAGGAAATTTGGGTGGGGGGGCGCTGACAGGTGGGGAAAACTTGGTTACTGAAATGATAAAAGCAGCTGTGTGAGGTTAAAGGTGCTAAGAGTAATAATTGTTCGAAAGCAGCACAGTTTTGCAAAATTCTGCTCTGCAGAGCAAGCCACTTATTGTGATTATTGCAATTAGTTTTGTTAATGATCATTTACTGCTAGCTCCTCCATCCCAAGGACAGGGAGCTGCAGATTCCCTACCTGGGCTGAGAACTGTTTATGACACATTTATTAAGGCCATCCTGCATGTGTATGTGCTATAAAAGAATTGATCTTATGTAAATAAACCCATAGGTGGAATATAGTTGTGTTGAGCAATATATGCATGGGGTTGATTATATATATATATATATATATATATGCACATATTTGCATATGCATACATACACATACATATAAATATACATATGCACACATTATCTATGCATATGCATAGATAAACACATTTGCATATCTGTGTGCATATTTTCATATTCATGTATGTGAAATATATGCACACACGGAACATATTTGGAATATATGCACAGGTTTGCATATATATGCACATATATGGAATATATTTGGAATATATACAATCAGGACTCGTAGTAGAGGTAATATCTTTTAATAGACCAACTAGATTTTTGCAAAAAAAAAATTTCTTTAATTGCAAGCTTTCGGGCACCAACACCCTTCATCAGGCATTGGAGAAAATGTTGTAAAAGTTCTCCTGGGTAGAAATTACCCAGGAGAATATATGCATACATTTGCATATATGGAACACATTTGGAATATATGCACATATATGGAACACATTTGGAATATATGCACATTTGCACACACACATACACACATATACACACACATATACACATACACACATATGCAAATGAAATGTATGAATGCATATGGAATATATGCACATGCACACATACATATTGCACACACATTTTTATAATGCCTTGAGCTTGCGCAGGAGCTTACACAACACAGGGAGGAATTCAGCCTTCCCGCATAGCCCTGACAATCCAGAGCGTATTTACAGTCTTTTCTACCCTTGCCGGCTGAGAACCCGACCCTGGCAGTCTGAGCATCAGCTGAGAGGTGGTGGGGAGGAGCGGGCTCACCTTTGATTTACACCTGTTTGGCGCTGGTGTGATGTCACCAACTTCCAAGGGCCTCGTTCCCCATTTATATCCACCCCAGCAAGTAGAGAACCAGCCCTGGGGGACTCCTGATTTATGCCAATGGACGGGGAGGGAGAGTCATGCCCAGAAGCTCCTCCTCTGCTCCATCTTTCACGCCAACTCCCTCCATACCTCAGTTTCCCCATCCATAAAAACACAGAAGCCTAAAAACAAACAGGGGAAACCCTCTTCTCCAGGGGCCTTGTGAGGGTCAGTGCATGGAGGGCACTGAGTGATTACTTTAGGCCATCTCTTGGCCCAGCTTTCTCATGCCCAGCACGCTGCTTGCACCCTATGAAGCCAGGTCCTTTCTCTCTGGAGGCAGATGCTGACAGGCTGGGCAGAAGTGCTCCAGGTCAGCATCATTGCCAGACAAGCCAAGCAAAGAGAAGCTCTTTTAATGACTGGAGGCGCAGCTGGCTCCGGTGGGGCTGGCAGGGCAGCAGGGAGGCAGTGGAAGAGATATGGGAGCATCCGATTCCCACTGGATCTCCCTGCCCGGATCGTCCTTATCCCAGATGGAAACCGACTGACGTTATTTATACCGAGGGAAATATTTAAGGGACTTGCCCATTCCTCATTCTGGAAGGGGCTGATTTATGGGATGTTACAGTGAGACAGTGGAGCAAAAGACAGGGGGAATATTTTACGGGGCTGCAATGTAAACAGAGCTGGAGCAGAGCCCCTTTTTATGGAGTCCCTGTCCTGACAGGGAATCTGACAAGGCCCTGATTTACGGCCCTATTTAGATAAGGGAGACCGGGGCAGGGATTGCGAATGGCGTCAAGGTCACAGGACTTACC